AAAAAAAAAAAGAGTTGTACAAGCTCCTGTCCAGTCCAGTTCAGTCTGGTCACCTGAGTGTTCCTAGACGTGGGAGCTCCTCCTTAGCCCTTCCCTCCTAGAAATCTTCAACCCGGAAAGCCTCTATATCTCAGGCCACTCAGGCCTCTCTGCTTACCCTCTGCCTGTCTCTTCCCACAGAGCTGAATGGCATGGTGCTACTGTGTAAAGTATGTGGGGACGTGGCCTCAGGCTTCCACTACGGCGTGCATGCCTGTGAGGGCTGCAAGGTGAGGCGGGTTGGGGTTGAGGACCCAGGCAGGTGATTGTACACCCCGCCCCCATGGTGCACAGCCTCAGCTTAGATGAAGATGTTCACTAGTCGGCCCTGCCTTCCAGGGCTTTTTCCGTCGGAGCATCCAACAGAATATCCAGTACAAACGGTGTCTGAAAAATGAGAATTGCTCCATCGTCCGGATCAATCGTAACCGCTGCCAGCAATGTCGCTTCAAGAAGTGTCTCTCTGTTGGCATGTCCAGAGATGGTAAGGCGGCATCCCCACGCCTCCTCCTCGCCCCATTTCCTTTCACCTTGTTTTCTGCCTTAATCCTACCATTTAAAAAAGAGCCTTAAGTTGAGACGTGGTACTGTGAGTGTCATTTGCGTGGAGGACGCTCATGTGTTAACCTCTTGGGCAGGCACACTCATCTCCCAATCATCCCCCTGGTCACCTACTATCAAACCCTTCGAATGGGTGTGGCCTTGCCGGTTTCAGTTCTGAAGTGGAACCCCAGCTTTCAGGGTCTTGCCCTTTCAGGAGGAAGGAAGGGAGGGAGGCACGTGAGTATGTGAGAACTTCCTGACGCTGCTCTCATCCTGTTGCAGCTGTGCGTTTTGGGCGCATCCCCAAGAGAGAGAAGCAGCGGATGCTCGCTGAGATGCAGAGCGCCATGAACTTGGCCAACAACCAACTGAGCAGCCTGTGCCCTCTGGAGACCTCACCTGCCCCGCACCCCACCTCAGGCTCCGTAGGCCCCTCGACACCTCCTGCGCCAGCCCCCACGCCTTTGGTGGGCTTCTCTCAGTTCCCACAACAGCTGACACCGCCCAGATCCCCCAGCCCTGAACCCACCGTGGAGGATGTCATATCCCAGGTGGCTCGGGCCCATCGAGAAATCTTCACCTATGCCCACGACAAGTTAGGCACCTCCCCTGGCAACTTCAATGCCAATCATGCATCATCAAGTAGCCCTTCAGCTACTACCCCACACCGCTGGGAGAGTCAGGGATGCCCCCCTACCCCTAATGACAATAACATTTTGGCGGCTCAGCGTCATAATGAAGCACTGAATGGTCTATGCCAAGGCCCCTCCTCCTACCCTCCTACCTGGCCCTCTGGCTCTGCCCACCACAGCTGCCACCAACCAAACAGCAACGGGCATCGTCTATGCCCCACCCACGTCTACTCGGCCTCCGAAGGCGAGGCACCTGCCAACAGTCTCCGGCAAGGCAACACCAAGAATGTTCTGTTGGTGAGGGCATGGAGCCAGTGTGGAGAGCGGGAGGGGGCTCAGAGGTTGGGCCCAGAGTAAGGCAGCTAGTGTTCCTGGAGGCTGACAGTGGGGATACCCTCTGCCCCGGAAATGACATTCTACCCCGAAGCCTGGGTTCTACCTGGGAACTCTTAAATCATCAATTGGCACCTGTATGCTATTTTAGGTGAGAGACCCATCCTCAGGGGCCCTAGCTCTTAACCCAGGCAGAATGTGGAAAGCAGTCGGGCTGAGGGAGCCCAGGTGAGCCCAGCTGGCTGACATGCCCCTCCTTACTTTGTTTTCCCCATAGGCATGTCCCATGAACATGTATCCCCACGGACGCAGTGGCCGGACCGTGCAAGAGATTTGGGAAGACTTCTCAATGAGCTTCACGCCTGCTGTGCGGGAAGTGGTAGAATTTGCCAAGCACATCCCCGGCTTCCGTGACCTTTCCCAGCACGACCAGGTGACCCTGCTTAAGGCTGGCACCTTTGAGGTGAGCAATACTTTCTGTTGCCCTGCTCTTGACTATGGGAAGGACCCAGTCAGAATAGCCTGGGGACTGGGGTGGGAAGGGGTTCACAGAGACGTTGGCGCAACGCTATCTCTGACGGAGGAGGAGGGGAACTCCCACCACTGTCTCCCACCTCTGGGTACGTGGGACTTTTGTCCTCTAGGCTGGTGTGTATTCCAACCTCCCAAATCAGAGTAACACCTAGGGCACATTGCCCGCCTCTCTAGACAGGAGCCGATGGATGGTCTTGGGTTAAATGTGCATTCCAGAACTGATGGGTGCTTCCACTTGGGTCCCCCCTATTGATCATTCTGAGGTCGCCCTCCTTACTGGCAATCTAAGGCAACAAAGGCGTTTTTGGGCAAACCGTAGGGGTCCAATGCTTCTCCCACCTCCCTCAAGATGGCTGTCCCCCCTTCAGGTGTTGATGGTGCGTTTTGCATCATTGTTCAACGTGAAGGACCAGACAGTGATGTTCCTGAGCCGCACGACCTACAGCCTGCAGGAGCTGGGTGCCATGGGCATGGGCGACCTGCTCAATGCCATGTTTGACTTCAGCGAGAAGCTCAACTCCCTGGCGCTTACCGAGGAGGAGCTGGGCCTTTTCACCGCTGTGGTGCTTGTCTCTGCAGGTAGGCCAAGCTCTCGCCTGACCCTGGAGGAGGCACACGCAGTTCAGTTTAACATACCTTTTATGGAGTACCTACTCTAGGCCAGGCCCGGCACTGGGCACTGGGGTACAGACATGATTCAGACACAGTCTAGCTTGGGAAACAGACTCATGCCCGACTAATTATAAAACAGTGAGATAAGTGTCACAGTAGAAGCATGAACTGGGGGGGGAGCACAGGCAACTATTTCTGCCTGGGAGAGCTGGGGAGGGAGGTGACACTTGAGTAGCCTCAAAGGGACAAGATATTGCCGGGCATGGAGGGGGGAAGGGCATCCCAGGCAGGGGCAACTACAGAGCACATAGCGAGGGAGCTTGGCCATGTGTGGCCTGCTCAGGGGGAGGAGGGTGGTCTGGAGGGGTGGGAGGTGGCCAGCCTGTGGCCCTGCTCCCAGCGTTGTTTGGGCATGCCCTGCTCTGGGGCAGAGGCCTGGGAGGAGGAGGAGGAGCACCCTCCTTTTCCTCCCCCATCACCCTCCAAGGGGCCTCAGGGCGAGGCTGCCTTGCCTGCCGGGTCCTCGCAGACCTCCGGGTCCTCGTCAGAGGAGGAGGAGGAGGAGGAGGAGGAGCTCGGGGAGCCTGCCTCACCGCTGTCTTCTTCCCCACAGACCGCTCGGGAATGGAGAATTCCGCTTCGGTAGAGCAGCTCCAGGAGACGCTGCTGCGGGCCCTTCGGGCTCTGGTGCTGAAGAACCGGCCCTCGGAGACTTCCCGCTTCACCAAGCTGCTGCTCAAGCTGCCGGACCTGCGGACCCTGAACAACATGCATTCCGAGAAGCTGCTGTCCTTCCGGGTGGACGCCCAGTGACCCGCCCGGCCGGCCTTCTGCCGCTGCCCCCTTGTACAGAATCGAACTCTGCACTTCTCTCTCCTTTACGAGACGAAAAGGAAAAGCAAACCAGAATCTTATTTATATTGTTATAAAATATTCCAAGATGAGCCTCTGGCCCCCTGAGCCTTCTTGTAAATAACTTCCCCCGCCCCCATCACCATGCTTCCCATCCTCCCCTATTTAAACCACTCTTGCTCTCCCGCCCTCCTCTGCCCCCCCCCTGACTTGTTCTGTTCCTGTCTCAAATCCAATAGTTCACAGCTGAGTTGGCTTCTGTGGTGTGTGCTCGTTTGGGGGCTGGGGGTGGAGGGGACTACTGCCAAGGCTGGGGGGTGGGGGGCACCTCTCCATCTGGTCAGCTTGTGGGGTGGGTACTCTGCCAGCAGATGGGAGAATATGGGGAAACAGCACACACGTCTAAGGGGGGGGTGCCCACGGGGGTTATTTTCATCATATATTTATTACATAAATATGTAGTAAAATAGACGAGCAACAATTACCATAAAAATATCTTTCTTTAAAATCCTGACCCAAAACACAATGGGGTGAAAAATCGCACATAACAGACATACTGATTGTCAACTGTAGGGCAGGAGTAGGAGCCCCTCAAGTCACCCCTACCGGTCCCACCCGTCCCTGGGGAAGGGACCTATCTCCTTCCCTGTTTTCTAGCCATAACCCCCCTCCCCCCACCCCAGCACCAGCTTCTCATACATTCAGTAGCGCCTCTGGGTAGTGTCCCCCCTCCTCCACCCAGGAGTTCCTAGGGCAGGAAGTACATTTCCCCCTAGTGGACGGTGTCTATGTCACACCCCCTGCCCTGCCCTCTCCCAGCCCTGCAGACCCACCCCCCGGGGAAGGGGTAGGGGCTCCTCCTCCCCCACCCTCCCCAAGTCTGAGCAGGGAGGAGGCTGGATGAGGTATGTGTGTTATAAGTGATGGGAGGGGGGAATACTGAGATGGAGAGGCAGTGGTAGGGGCAGGTAGTGGTCATGGCTCTGGCACCCCCTTGTCCTGGCCTGGCCCCCCCCCCCCCACAGATTCCCCTCTCCTCCCTCCTCCAACTCCCCACCAGGACCCCCCCCCCCCCCCCAACCTTCTCCCATCAATACTGCACCCGCTGCCCCACCCGGCCTGCCCTAGTGCCCCGGGCCAACACTGGGGGAAGGCATGCTAAGCACCCATGCCAAGTCCATCCCCCCATTAGCACCAATGGCCCCCAGGAGAGGGCCCTGTCCCCCACTTCCACAGCAGGGACTGGGACAGCTGCCTCTCTAGAGCAGGTGCGTGGCACTCCTGAGTCTCTCTGGCTCCTTCCCATAACGTGGATTCACTCACACATTCACACACAGGAACACACACATACACGCCACGTCACTGAGGGGGAGGGGAAGGGTGAGGGGAAGGGGCTCACAGCTCATATGATTCGGGGGGAGGGGAGGGGATTCCCAAGTGCCTGTAAGAGGCCATGCCCATGGCTGAGACTGGGAATGGACAGGGCGGAGGGGAGCCAGGGGAAGGAGGGGGGACAGCAGGCAAGGTCAGGAACCCCACTGGGCCCCCAGGTTATGGGGGGAAGGTGTGAGAAGGTTTACCCACGGGACTGGAGGAATACGGAAGTCAGTACCCCAGGAGAGAGAAAGAAGGTAGAGACAGAGGACACAGGTGGCCCGGAGGCCCCAAGGGGTGGGGCAGGCACATGCACAGGTGACAGGAGAGATGGCCCCTCCAGGCCCTCTGCCCAGTTGGAACACCTGGACAGTGGCGGCGGAGGACACTGCCCTGGGGACAGTGAAGCACTGCCTTCCTCTGCGTGTGTGTGTGTGTGTGTGTGTGTGTGTGTGTGTGTGTGTGTGTGTGTGTGTGTAGGGGCTGTGGCAGGCTGAGGGTCAGAGTGGGGTGGCAGGTTCCCCACCGCTTAAGACATTTTTGCCCCAATAGTGCAAAGCGCAGGAAGCCCTGGCACCCCGCCCCCGCCCCCCCCCCTGCCCCATTCCCCATGGCTTCCGGGGGGCATCTATGTCCACCCATCCATCCCTGCCGACATGCAGCCCTGAGCCCAGGGCCACTGGTCTGCTCTGTTTCTCCCTCTCCTCCCCACCCTCCTACTCGGGGGAGGGCCGCCTCCTCCCTCCCTCTCTGCAGAGGAGTGGGCTGTAGTCAAAGAGAGGAGGAGGGGGAGGGGGAGGGGGAGGGAGGACTCGGAGGGCAGCTCACCCAAGTGCAGACCAACAGAGCACTCCTCACCAGAGGGTGGGAGCTGGCTCAAGCCAAAGTCCCTGAATTAGAAAAGGAGAGGGGGAGAAGGGTCCCAGGGGCCGAGGGGTGGCTGGCCTAAAGAGCGAGCGAGCGTCAAAGAAAACAGGAGGAGTGTGCCAACTGCCTCCTCCCCGGGGCCCCTAAGTGCCACTGACAGAAACACTCCCACTGCATGCCAACCTGCCCTACGTCTGGGTTAGTGCATCAAGTGGGAGTCAGTAAGAAGGGCAAAGGGAGCCCAGAACACAGACAGGAAACAAGAGTCCCACAGGGGCGGGGCTTCTGGGAGACACACATGTCCACCCCACCCCCCATGCAGCAGCATCTGGACTGTAGCTAATACTGCAGGATATGAGGAGGGAAGGAGCCCGGGCCGCAGTTTTTTCCTGTGTGGGGGGTGCCAAGGTATAGGAGGAGGGGGAACAGGAGGCCCCTGGGGCTGGGCACTTGAAAGGGGAGCTGTGTGGGCAACAGGGCAGGCTGGTGAGGGGCCAGCTGGCATCCAGCGTGAGAGGTAGATGGAACTCAGCGGGCACGAGTGGCAGAGAGCAGAGGAAGTACTGGGGTGCGGTGCCAAAGGGGCACGGGGGGGGGGGAGGGGCAAGGCAAGGGGGGGCGCCAGGACCCTGTTGTGTTAGGGCTCACAGCTCTAGTCAGCAGCCCTACCCTTGTAGGTCTGCTGGGGGCATTTCTCTCTGGGGGTCAGAAGGGCAGTTCTCAAAGTGCATGGGGGTGGGAAGGGGGGGGTCCTTCCCCTTGGACCAGCCTCAGCTAATAACTTAATATCATCTCTCTCTCTCTCTCTCTCTCTCTCTCTAACGCTCTCTTTTTTTTTTTGTTTTTGTTTTTTTGTTTTTTGTTTTTTGTTTTGTTTTTTGTCTGTCTGGGTTTTCTTCATTTATAGTCTCCCCTTACTTGCTTTCCAAAGTGCAGTTAGGATGACTACCATTTTTAGCCTCCAGGGGAGGAGCTAAGCCAAGCTGTCCTTTACAGCCAGGACCCAGGTTTTTGGGGAAGTAGAGACCTGTGGCCTGCAGGGGAAATCGAGGCCAAGGAACTTGGCAGGGCTCTCCTGTGTGTCTAGGGGTGAGTGAGGGCATCTGCCCCTCTTCCTCATTCCTCCTGACCCTACAATCAGGATGGCTTGCCCCTCTTAGTTCTTCCTCCCTCTCCCTACTCTCTTAGAGGTTGGGGGTTCCCGGGAACTCGAGGACTTAGGTCCCAGCCTCCCCTACTGTCTTTCATAGCAAGTTCATTTGTTGCCCTGTGTGAGGGCTGGAGGTTCTGAGGGGGACTGGGCAGTGCAGGGGTATATGGGAGCTGCATCTATCCAAGGATGGGAGGAAGGAGAGAAGAGGTGGGGGGGGGGGTTCTCCCTCAGCCCCCAGCTCTGTCCCTTCTCTCCAGGCTCCTCCCCACCAGCTCCGCACACCCTCTGGCCGCCTGAGGCTTTAGACTTCCTGATCCTCAAAGACCTCCAGGAAGAGAGGGGGAAAGAGTTCGGTGGGGCACTCGACTTTCATGTGGAGGAAGCGGCTGGCGTGGCAGGCCCCGATCATGCGGAGGTCAGTCACCTTCATCAGCAGCTTGGGCCAGAAGTGCGGAATGTTGTGTTTGCGGTGGTTGACATAGTGCTCAAAGGCCAGCAGGTACGCCTCCTGACTCTTCTCAATCTTGTCCACACACAGCAGGCCGGAGCGGTCTGCAGGGAGGAGGGAAGGAGTGCTGAGGGCTGAGAGAAGCACAGGAGGAAACATTCGGGAGGGCATGGAGGGACACCGAGGCAGAGAGCCCGGGAGAGACCAGGGGAAGAAAATGGCACTGAGAGGCTGGGTGGTGGTGGCGCACGCCTTTAATCCCAGTGCTCAGGAGGCAGACACAGGCGGATCTTTGTGAGTTCGAGGCCAACCTGGTCCACAGAGGGAGTTCTAGGACAGCCAGAACTACAAAA